AAAAATATTGATTTGTAGAAATATAATAGTTATCAATCGTACTGCCAGTTGGACTGCAGTTGTCAGGTAGTATATTGTTTTCACTGAAGAATAATTACTTTTTTTATTAAATATAAATATTATGCTTTTTTTACACGTCTGTTATGTATTGATATATTTTCTGCATGTATAAATTAACATAGAGTTCATGAATTATGTTCTAATTTCGTCAAACAAAATTTTGATTCATTATAAAAAATGGAGTTTCATGTAGTTGTAATCATTCCAATATTTATCTATTAATTGTATTAATTATTATTCAATCTATTATAATTTTTAGAGACAATTTTTGTATTAATATATTTTAAAATACAAAATTTTAAATTTAACTGTTGTTTCAAATGTTTTATTATTTATATTGTAAATTCAATTGTTAAAAAAAGAAATTAATGATCAAGAAACTAGTTTTAAAATACAATAAGATGTAGCAGGTAAAAAAGCCAGTGACTATTGGGTAAGTTTCTTATATTTAATTTTATCATATTATAATAATTAAAAATAACTGTTGTTTTTTACAAAGATCTCATTTAGAAAAGCTGAAAGGAAATTCAAAGAAATGAAAATTGAAACTGTTCAACTGAAAAATAAGTTGATCATAGTTTTTAAAATACTTGAAAATGGTGCAAGTTTAATTTATAACAAGATTTAATTCACATTACTTGATTTTGAACCATCTCTTCTAATCTTAACTAATCAACAGTCACGTCCACTTGATACATTAGGTCGAGTTTTAACTTTTAAGTCCACCAGCTCTTTCAGTAAATAAGGAGGTCATTATATAATTCAATTAGTACTTAACTTAGGTAATTTGAGTCTTTCTATTACTTTAATTATTAAAACAGTACAACATTTAAATTTTAAATTCTATGCCGGTAACGTTAGCTACATAATTATTATTTATTATTTTAACATTTCATAATTTAAATTCATCTATTTTATTATCACCATTTGAAGTACATTAATTGCAATTAAATTGCATACATTATATGCAAATTATTTGTTTAACTTTAATAATTATCAAATTTTAATTTTTTATTAATCGGATTATTTATTGATTTATATTTTATTATGTCTAAACAGTAGAGACTTAGAGGTATTAATGCAAATAATCCATATTCCACAAGGACATTATTATGTTATGAGTGTAATCAGTTTAGGATTGAGTATTATTTGAATAATTAAAAAGTCCATTGTAGATATTGATTTAATTATTGTGATGTTTTAATCAAGTTCTTATCAAAACATCTACTTAGATAATTGTTGTTTAATTGACTAGAATTTTACTCCAAATTTACTGTAATTAACTAAAAAGTAATAAATAATATAATAAATTCTCAAAAAAAAAAAAAAAAAAATAGACCCAAAAACATTTGTTATGCTTTTCGAGAGCCAAAGGATTTTTCAATAATATTTAATAATATTATTTAAAATAAATTAAATTAATAACAAACTATTGATTACTGATTGATAAATAGATTATGTACGAAGTTCGTATGGTATACAATTTCAGCCAGGTATTGACCACAAGTATCATTTATAATTTATATTTACAAATATACAATTAATTACCAATATTGATCATACCTATATTTGATAAAAAATATTTAAAGACAAGTCGGTGGATGAGTTCAGGATAATAAAAAATATATCTACAATAATAAATGACATATGTTCTTATTTTATTTTTTATAATTTTTAAAACAATCTTATTGTAATATAATAATATTATACTCGTTAGAGAAATTTCTTTCTTTAGACTATTTATAAATATGTTCTGGTTTTGTTTAGATTATTTTTTAAGTTTTTATTTAGGATATAAATATAAATATATTTAAAACAAATATATAGTAATTTAATCTACAGATATTTGAACTTATCGTCATTTTTTTTTTTTTAATTTTATTGAACAATGTCCTTGTAATAAAAATTTGTCAAGATTTCGATATCTATTTTTTTTTTTTTTATCATTAACTATAATATTAATTATAATATAATACAATATAACAATAAAAAATTGGTAATTTATTAATACATTTATTTGGATGTATATAATTATTGGCTATTTCAGTTTTCGCAAAAAATAAATAATCGTATACACTTGAAATTATAATATATTATTCGTTTTTATTTTTTTTCTATTAGAATGACTTAATCGCAGGGTCGATCATAATAAATCAATAATGGCTCTAATTCTCTTCTAGAAAAACAAAATCAATTTTATCATCGTTTACCAAAGTTGATTTCATCGGTATGTGGCGTATTATATTAATTAATAGATCACTGTAACTTTTAATGTAAAAAGGCAGGTGAATTTCGTGTGTGAACCATAAACAACGAAATTTATTAGTAGTCGCACGTTTGACTTATTGATTCCGATGTGAACGTTCTGATGTACGTTTAATTGTATCACTATGATGTTTTAGGCGTTTTGTAATATTAACTGCAAAGGAACCGAAACAGAAATGTGTTATGGGAATTGCAAACAGCAGGTTTTTAAGGAGTTTAATATTAACAATTTTTGAAAATTTAGCACTAGAGTCTTAAAAAATGTGTGCATAGTAAGTGATTATTAATCAATGATTGACGTTACGTGTAAATATAATATACTTATTTGTATGTACATTTTATTAATTATACAAATTATTGTGTAATATGTATAGAGTTATTATTTTATCGAAAAAAAACTTACTATTTCATAATCTATTAATGTTTTAGAAAATAGATTTCTACACAAATTTTAGACAAAACGAAACATTAAAAAAAATAATAGTTATATTTCTTATCATATTTTATGGTTATAATTTTTTAAATGATAACATACATTTTTTGTTTGAAATTCTAAAGCAAACTATTTTTCTGAGTCTTTCAATTCATAATTAAAATTTGTGTAAGTAGTTCATGAGTTATAAATATTTAAAGTTTTGATAGATATGAGGTACGTAGATGCCTTGTAAAATATTGTTCTACCACTGCGTTTACCAGAACTTTATAAATACTTGTAAATCATAAACTTATAATCTGAATTTCGATTTTTATGAATCGAAATACTCTAAAAAATATTCTGTTGCTGAATATGAAACTAAAAAAATAACGAAAAAAATATTAAAAATAAATTTTTCAAAAACGTTAAAATAAGAAACTTTATAAAAGAGCAAGTATTGTTCGATAATAGAATCGCTTATTACAGTTAAATTGGCTTATAACGATCTTAAAGAGACCTAGAGAAACTAATCGTTATAACCAATCTTTGTTATATCCGGATTATAAAAAGTAGCTTGGTTTTTTTGAAAAATTTATTTATTAAACACATTTTTTACTGTATTATTTTATTTAAGATTACATATTTCAACATTAAAGGTATTTATAATTTTAAATAAAAGTAAATATAGGCATAGTACATATTATATGTTTACGATTTGTTTGAAAAATAAACTGTTATAGTGCTTTGTTTATAATTTGAATAAGATTTTTTAACAAAATTAAAAATATTTTTTAATACCATTGATACTTAAAGTACACACCTGATCAATATAAAAATAAACTTCCGAAATAAATGGCACTTTAAATAAGTATGTCGTATACAATTTACGTGCCGTAAAAGACACATATTATTTGTTACAGATAAGATTAAGAATTATTGCTTCAAACGAAATCAAATTTACTACTTGTGCGTGTATTATTAATTTCTATAGGTGAATATAAAAACCTATTTTCATTTCAAAATAACATCGTTATATTCGGATTGTCGTGGTAACCGATATCGTTATATACGACTAAAGTACTACACATAAGATATAAAACCAACCAAATACATTGCTTGGAATCGTTTTATCCGGAATATTGTTATATACGGCATTGTAATAAGCGAATTCAACTATATATTATTATAATTTAAAGGTATATATTATTATATATTGTTGTTATTTGTTAGAAGCACATAAACATATTTGAATATATATATAATTTAATATATTCTTATAACATTATTATTTATAAGAATGTTATAAGAACCTTTTAATGTAATTATCAAATTGATTTTTGAAAAATTTACAACAAAAGGCCTTGAAAATCCGTTTTTTTTTTTTTTTATGAAAACCACATTTAATGCAAAATCTAAATGAAGAAATAAGTTTTGAATTTCAAAATTTCATATTCGCAATAGGATAAGATGCCAGAAAATAGTGAGCATAAAAAAAATTGAAAATATGTAATTTTTTTTTCTTTTACGGCTCACAGTCACCTGTTATTTTTATTTGTTAAAAATCTAATAATTCCACTTTTTATAGTGAAAATTGTTATTTAATTTATTTGAAACTAACTATAATGTTAAGTAGAATGTCGCTCTACCTTTTAATGTAATTATTAATTTAATTTTCGAAAAATTTTCAACAAAAGGCCTCGAAAAACCCGTTTTTTTATGAAAACTATATTTGATGTGAAATTTAGGTGAAGAAATAAGTGTTGAATTTCGAAGCTAAGTAGTAATAGGCACCATTGGTATTTTAATAGCCTAATAATAACCATGTTTGGTTAAAATGTACTATCGTATGATTTGTTATTATTTTTTTTTTTTTAACACAGTTATTATCTCCATCGGAATATTAAAGCAAATACATTTTAATAATGTACATTTTAAATTTCATTTCATTTTGATTTGATTTAATGAATATGGTTTACACTCCACGGTATAAATGTAAAGCCGATTAATACATTTTCTTTTTACCAAATCTGAAAACAAAATTTAGGAAAACTTATACCTACATATTTGAAAAAATTTCAGTTAATATAAAATATACGAGTACATTTGTGCAAAAAAATTGATACTTATAAAATAGGGATAAAAGAAAACATAATTATTATATTTATCAATAGTGGTCATAAAATAGTTAAAAACAAGTCACAGGATGAGTTCAAGATATTAAAATATATATCTAAAATAATTAACAACTAATGTTCTCACTTTAATTTTTATAATTTCTAAAAAAAATAGTATCGTAATACAATAATATGTTCAAGCTAACGAAATGTTATTCTTATTTGAATGTACAATAATAAATTATTATAATATATAGTTAAGAATGAGATTGCGTCAGACTATTTATAAATATGCATTATGCATACATTTTATTTAGATTATTCCTCAAGTTTTCTACACGAACAGGTACAGTCTTCGGTCACTGGATATGGTACTTTAATCCATAAACATCTGAACTTATCGTCTTTTTTTTTATTTTTCCTTAGTCCGGTGGTTCTCTTGCTCCTTACCGCGTGTGCTTTTGCCAATTCCATCATTTTTCTTTCCCGATTCTTTCTTTTATTTTTTCTATTTTTTAACCTAAAATAAACATAAAATAATTGTTAATAAAATAAAACTAAAACTAATACGTTAGATAATACGTTGGATCAATAAGAAAATTACATTTTTTAATTAACATTGATTAAAAAAGCACATCGTTTTTAACATTTTTAATTACTTAACTTGTATACAATGTTTATATATACAAAATAACGATTAAAAACACATTAAAAATCTTCAATCATTTATACATTTTTAATTATATTTTAAAAATGTTGAATTATAAAACAATTTGAAAATTGTTATGATTTAAGACAAGAATTTAAACTTTAAACGCTCAAAAATAAGTTGTAAAAATATAAATTTTTTCTTTATCTATGAGAAAAACTAATGTGGATCTTGTGTTAAATTTTCAAACTTTTTAACAAAAAAATTTATAATAATTAAACTAAAAAAAAAAAAAATTTTAAAATTTTAAATGTCAATAAGTATTAATTAACTTACAAATTTTCGGAATATTATGAAATATTTCAAGTATCTACGATTATTTATTTTTTGATTACAACAAATATTAAAAATCGTTTAAGCAAATATTGTTATTTTTACAGGTAAATATGCTAACACACTTTACTGTAAAATCAATATATCATCGCTTTGCTCAGAATCTTAAATATGTATTTGTCCTGTTATTTATAAACTGTGGTTGAATTTATAAATTTTTGCACGTATCGTAACTGACTTACCAACAATGCCACCGCAACAGATTAAGTACTTTGATAGACGAAGGCATGCACGACATGCCCGGTGGCCAACTACAGCTCATCGTTCCTAAACGACCGCACCGACCATTTTTTATCCACCTGGGCCAAAATGACTTTCCCAGGTCTGTCCACACGTATTCTACCGGACACGTACTTCGGTGCACCAACCATGAGCGCATTAACTCTTGGTACTGGGCTGGAAGTTGTTCCGGAAGCTGTAAGCTGTCCGGTCCGGACGTCTCCAATGACTTGACACTTACCAAATCCGATGTGTTTCCGTGATATGCCTGTAAATTGCATGTAAATTACTTTATATGTACACTGTTATATTGCAATGATATTATGCGCTAATACAATGAACTGTTCAAAAAATTAAAAAGGAAAAATATGAAAATAAATATTAACTTCAGTCGGCTTAAAATAAAAAAATAATCTATTTTTTTAAATATAACGTTATCACATAAAAATTATTTTGTGCCTATTATATTGTTTTATCAAGAAACGTAACAGAAATTATAGTATTAGATTATTCAAACTTGAAACCGTAAATAGTATAGTTATTAATATATAAAACCATTTGAAACCAAAAATTCCAAAAATATTTTTTATTTTAACTAGATGGATTATTTTTAAATTAACCGAAAATTATTTTATTTCAACAATCAATTAAACTATTTAGGCGCTCAAGTTATTTAAATATTAACTAAGTGACGTTCTAACTAATTAATGCCCACCTTTATATTGAGTGTAATATAGATAGCCACTCGTTGAAATTATGTGTGAACTCGGGAAATTAATTATAGGGTGTTGTGACCCCCCTCCCCCACTGGAAAACAATATTATACTTTTATTTACACAGTTTTTAAATTTGTTTAAAATCTTTATGAATTCATTTTTTTCATGATTCAGTTTTCACTTTTTAACACGATACAATAATATATATATAAATTTAAGTTAAGGTAAGTGCTTTGTTTAAAGTTTGAATAGAATGCGTATTAACTCGATTTTTAAGGTTGCTTGAGACAATATTGAATTCTTATTAATATTATTCATAGAAATAGAAACGATCTTTTATTATTTTTAGATGACAATTTCATCCATACATCATTGATATTCAACTATTATTATCTTCGTTTTATCTACTTCTGTATAATATTATAACTTATTACATTAAATTAAAATATTCTAAACGGTTTATACATTAACGATTAACATATTAAGTACACTTTTACATTGTTTAAATAATTATCTTATCTATTCAATGTTATTTATATTAGTTTAAAAAATCAATGTTTTTAGTGAATTGAATCATCAACGGAAGTCGATACAGGAAACGAGCACCGTAAAATCGTCTGAAATTTTTAGATTTCAGTTTTGATAATACGTTTACGATACATACTTCGTTCACACGTATTAAAGAACCAAGATGATTATTGTGATTGTTGTTTATACTGCTGTTGAATCTAATAATAATAATAAAAAAAAATACTTATAGTATCCTCTTTTGGTGAACGCCCATCAGTTCTACTGTTCATGACATTTTAATACACAGTGTAGGTACTTACTGATGTAATCGATTAGATCTTTGTAGCTATGTTTGTAGTATGTATATATAATTGCTAATCAGTGTGTTTCTTACAAAAGTCTGATGTTTCCCGTGTTGCATCAATTTAAATAAATACTGCTGTTTTTTAATAGTAAATTCCAATTTGAACATTTTAAAAATTTATATTTATTTGATTATATTAAAAAAAAAAAATGGATACTGATGATCATAATATAGTTATGAATTATAATTTATGATGTTTGCTATAATATAAGAAATGAAAAAAATTGTCAATTTATAGAATCTTAAAATAAAATAAATTGGTCTTAAATTGCAAGAGAAGCACTATATTTTTTACAAATCATCATACAAAAATTACAATCGGAATTGATCTATACAAATGCGATCAGTTTTAATTGTTTGATTACATTTTGTAGAATGTAGATAGGTATCTAATTGTAAGTAGTAATTATAGTTTATAACTCTCATAAAATCAAATTCTTAATCAACCCTAACTTGATTAATTTTACTTTAATACATTTTAATAATAATTTTTAAAACAATATAGTTATTTCAGAAATGTCAAGGATTAAATTGTATACATAAATAATATGTATTTAATTGAAATTTTTATGTTGATTGCTTTCAAAAAAAAAATTCATTTTAATTTATTGATTAACTATAATATACTGAGGGGCGCATGTAAACTCTGCCACAAGTACCTTTTTTTACTGTAAACTCCGCGAGAAAAAAAAACGGGTAAAATTGGGTTCATGTAAACTCCACCAGTGAATAAAATCAAATAGTAGTATAAAATCAATATGATATATTATTAAAAAAAAATTATAATATAATATAATATCATATTGTTCACATTAAATATTTAAATCATAGTATAAAAAATCATAATAAATAATCCAAAATCATATTTTTCATAATAATAATTAATAATTGTCCACATTAAATATACATAAATCATAGTAAAAAATAATCATTATACGTAATAATCCAAAATCACGTGGCAATGTGAGCACTGTTGCACTGACCTGGTAAAAAAAAAAAACTGGCGGAGTTTACCATAGACCTATTATTACCTTTTTATCTCGACCGATGTTCTGGCGGAGTTTACAATCGCCCATACTGAGATTACTTTTTGACAATATTTATATAATATATTTTATGTCAATATAAACCATATTACGAGTATTAGATTAAAAAAATAATTTATGAATCTAGTCGAATTTTGTTTCGGATGTAATAGTTGATGCGGGTGGTTATATACAAATGCGTTTTTTTTTCATGTCACACACGTACTACTGGTATCAAACTATTACAGTGAAAACTATTACGGTGATCATAGTATTATAATTTATTCACAGAGATAAGTTTTGTTTTTTTTTTTTTTTTACCTAACAAATCCGACCGAAAAAATCAGACGGATCTGTGAAGATATTATTTGTGGAAAGTGTATATGCATAGGGACACCTCATATACATTAAACAAAACAATAAAACCAGACATAAAATCAATATTTTTTATCTTCGACAAGGAGCTAAAACGGATGTATTATTTTACATTAACGGCACGTTGAAATATCAGAGTTGTATTCACGTGGGCACTCCCCACGCTAGGATACGTCTATTTATTTGGTTTGTTGGTACGAAAATAAAATAAGACATCAAGTTCTGTAATAAACAAATAATTGTATAGAAATTTAAATCTAAATTGCTAATAATTCATAAAAAATTACGACTTATTTCTTCTGTATAATAAATATGTCATACAAGCGAGAATATCATAGACTCGAATAGCGTATATACTGTTGAAGAAAACGACCGAGGCGGTTACCCATCTCTCTATGAGATAATGAAACGTGTAAGTGTGTTACTGTTTGAGAATTTTTTTAAAAAACTAAAGAAACAACACAGGTAATGGATCCGTTTTGTAACAATATTGTAAACTGTAATCAAACGATATCAATTATAAGTAATTTATACTTCGCGTTATTGATATACACGATGATTCTACTATACCTTTTATTTAACAGCAGTCGTTTGGTCTCACTTGTGAACAATAGACCGCAGATAAAAGTACTTAGCTAATTGACACCCGAAGAACAGGGTATTTGTGCCTAGTGGTAGGACAATTTAAAACAACTCTTGACACTTTGACAGGATTCGAAACGGACTGTTTTTCTAGTAAAAACAACACGTCTTCTATTCAACGTACGCAAAATATTGATCAATAAAATTATACGATATGGATTTTAAAAACAAGTTTAAATCCCTTGTTTTTGTCTCATTTAGATTCTGCTAACAACTTTAAAACAAACTACCTTATAAAACGTTGTCTTTATAAATTTAAAAAAAAATGTTGTACACGTTTTTTATGTTAAAAACTAATTACGCTTTTTCAAAATGAAAAAAAGTTGTTCGTACGGTCTAAAGTAAATAATATTATGTTATAATGTTCAAATTTGATTTCATTATTTAAACTTAATAAATGTTTGACTTCAATACCTGAGGTTTAGAAATGTAATAAAAGATTCCTCATGAGTTGGATGCGTTATTGGAATCAAGAAAAAAAAAGTTTAACATAAAATATGTTTAGCTTCACTACAGCTCGGTCATAATAATTTAAGTATGCCTCTTCTCATTAGTAGGAGTTATGTGCATATTATACAGCAGATGTCAATATTGTTTGCTATTCAAAAAAAAAAAAACCAACGGGTGGCAATCGACCTAGATTTGCAGATAAAAATAAACAGTTCAGCAATATGTATAATTACCCAGTAACTGCATTTTTGGGTAAGGAGAGTATTAGCTATACGTATAGGGATGAAAATTCAATAAGGTCCGTGGGTAACGGATCTTTCGATGAGTTTTCGGAAATTCTTTACATCGCATGTCATACAGGTGTTGGTGGTGTCTACAAAATACGTGTATTATTGTATTATGAATACGTGTATATAGGTATGTACAACACGATCAACACGCTTCTAAAATATTGTAACATAATATAATATAATATAATATAATATAATGGCTGCTGTAGGTATACACATAATATTATAGAAGACGTGTATGTGTACTGTATAGGCATAACGTATAGACAGTTGTAGTAGGTGTGCGCATTTTATTCTCGACACGAGATTATGGCACGTACCTACTTCCCATAATATTGCATAATAATACTGCCTATATTATAATAATGTACAATGTTGTTTGTACATACGACGACAAAAGATTTGATCATTTAACGGACACGTTTGAAACGTGAAAAAACATATTATACACCTACCTGTAGGTACGTATAATAATGTATATACGAGCGGTGGGCTCGGTGAGTATAATATAATATGATAATAATATTTGGGGCGATTCCTCGAATACGCTCACCCCCTTTTTTCTTTAATCACGCAGTCTCTCAAAATTAATTTAGACATTTTTAAATGTTCGCCTCAAACCGTGTTTTCGAGATCTTGAGATTTTTTGTGCTATTTAAGGAGTGACCTACTGAGATATACGAGAACTTTACTCTTTTCTACTCTTATATTCACTTTTATGGACATTTTGACGTATCTACCTATCAAAATCAAAATTCAAACAAGTATTTTCCTTGATACGCTATAGATAAGTGGCTTATGATAATGGATTTAAAGATAATCTAAGAGTATTTTTGTTTATTTAAACATTTTAGTAATTTATATATTAATCAATCAACATTTATAGTTTGTTAAAATAGTCTTAATATAATAAATACTAAAGCCAATATCAAAAAAGTAGGCATTTTTTTTTTTTTTTTGTTCTATTGTTAAATATTTGAAGTTCAAATTTTACGAAATTCGTTCAGAATATTTTTGTTTCAAATAAGTCACTTTATAGCTAAAAATGTATAAATAATTCAACTTTTATAGCTATGGCTTGAATATTTAATACAGTATTTTTTATAAACCGTTAATATAAAAAAAATAAAATCTAAAAAATATATAAAATTGATTTTTTCACAAACATTTTAAGTTAAAATTGGGGTGAAATTATGTATTAAAACTTAGAATACAATTTTTAGTTATTTATATACACAATGTCATTTTTTAAATGCATTTTTTTTTTTTTTTAATTAATTCAATCTATCTTTTGCAATACCTATAGTGAAAAAAAATACTCTAGTAGCAATACAAACATATCGTAAGATAAACTTAGTAATATAACCATAAACATAAGTATCATTATGTCAGACTGTTTTTGTTCAGAATCGTTTTTCATATACAATTATTTATTAATTACAATTTAACACATGCATTGAGGTGACTTACTCAATAATACTTACTAAATTGTGGAGAGAATTCATATTTTCCCCTTTTATTTAAATTAATTTATTTGAGGGAGTTTTTAAGACATTTATACAATATATATATTTTAAATGCACTTTTATTGTTTGTTGTTGAATATTTTTAGGCTATTAACATCCACGCTTTATTTTTATTAGTTATGACTACCTATATTTTACTCATTAACCAATGTTTCAATCAGATATTTTGATCTTTTAATCGATATAGAAATCTTGCGTAGGTACAAAACTATTGTGCATACCAATACGGCTATAGGTACCATATATTCATTATTCATTCGTAGTGTTAAGAATATAAATTACACTTAATTTACACAGAAACTAAGACGTACATTAATATATTAAACATTGTAAAATAATTAAAATTTTTTAAATTAGGTATACGTATCACATATATTTTTCCCTTCCATTATAGTAATCGGTGTTTTGTCCCTATCGAAATATTAAGATTGAATATTTGGTTTTCAAAAATAATTAGCCAAACGTTTGTCCCCTATTTAGAAGAAAAATATTTTTTAATTTTTTAAAAATAGTGACATAAAGTTTGAAAATTAATTCGATTGAAATAAATTTATAAATGTATTTATTTTTTATTTTACAAAAATGGCTATAAAATTTACAAACTACAAAACATGTAATGCGTATTAAATGATACATGTTTCCCAAATTTACACTTAACTTATGCATCAACTCATATGTGGTTGTTAATTTCTGTACAGTATATTATAATAAATGCATTTTTTTATATTATAATTTAATTCAACTAATTACCAATTTATTGTTATATCGACATACTTATTAAGTATTTTATTTTTATGTTGAATTGATTTCCAGACATAATATTATATTCTTACTATTCCAATGTTATTAAGTAAATTAATAAAAAATAAATATTTTAAAAAACTAGGCGGACAAACGTTATATGTCTGATAGCTCGCGGAAACCAAATATCCAATCTCAATATTTTTCAGAGACGAAATGTCGAGTAGATTTCTAGATTATATCTAAACGCTGATTTTCGAATGTGATTTGGAAACGCTGACGGCTACAATATTTACGTATAATCAAAAGCGTATTCACGATTTTATCTTAATAATATTTTTCTAGCACAGCGCCCCCTTTAAGAGATTTACCATTTGGCATCCGGGGCGATTGCCCCCTCTTTCGCCCCCAACTAAATACGCCCCTGCGTACAACCATGTATATGCCTACTCGTTTATTAACGTTGAAAAAAATAAAGGGAGATTCACATTATCACTGACTGTACCGTTACAATTGCCGTTTTGCTCATCCACATTTCGTTGTAATCGGACCCGATGAGTCGGTTGAGTTTGTCAGTTTTCATATCCTTCTTGCGGGGCAGGTCGGGCTCGGCACGAAACCACACGCTGAACGACCCGCTCGTCTTCTTGCCGGGCGAGTTGACCGCGTCCGTACGCTGCAGCTGCTCACCGACCGCCGTTAGGACGACAAGTAGTATAATTCCGATGTCGAAAGAACGCTGCATAATAATAATGCCGTCTCGGCGGCCTGTCTCCTCTGTATCTGCAGTCTCTCCGCCACACCGTCTGTTATGGAGCACAGCGTACATGAAAATATGAATGATGACAATAATATTATTATAATTGTTATTTTGGGAATGTTATTTTTGAGACCGCCGTCGTATAATAAAAATATATAATATTCAATACGACAGTGTATATAATGTATATATAATGCGGTATTAATCACAACGCTCACGGTCTCGCGTAGATTATATCGTCGGATTGTGTCGTCCTATTATATGCTGACGAGTCTCGAAGGAATGACGTCATTGGGGGACACTTATTATAATAATATTTGTATGATATAATATACGTATTATCACAAAGAAAGGTCAAGTAAAAAAAATATTTTGAAATTGTTATGCAAATGTGGGGGTGTCTATACTCACGCGTGTGCGAGTGGAATAATGTGTGTCTGGAAAATGTATAGTGTTGGTCACGGAGAGATAGAATGAAAGTGCGTTTTTGTGTGTGTGTGTGAGAAAGAGAGTGAGCGAGTGAGTGATAAAGTATGAGAAAGACAGAGCGAATGAGGTAAAGGAATAATACCGAGGAATGCGGGTTAACAGCGCCGCGTTGTATGACGATGGATCTGAGAGAAAAAAAATACCGACCCCTTAAAGAACATAATAGCGTCGTGTAAAATGATAACGTGTTATTTTGTCGGAAATCGTGCATGTATTTTTTTTTCCCCGAAATATTTTTAAAACCATTCGAACGATTTTTGCAGACTACCCGACGCCACTTCCACCGGCGTCTAGTATTATAATATGATTTTTATACTTTATTCACACAAATACGCAAAGTTGGAAGGAAAAAGGGTTATAATTTTGAAATTTGAAAAAAAATAAATATTAAAAGCAATAATACTTATACGTTTTGTAGGTTGATCAGCGAATGATCTGAAAAATCAAATTAATGACTTAACTATACAGGAGTGACATGATGGTCAGGATTCATAAATTACCATCGCCATCCCATCATGTGTGACCTAAGATTTCTATGACTGTTAAGTAGATTATACACCATAAAGTGGCGCCATTGGGCGAAGAAGGGATTGGGTGACGATGTAAAATTCTCACACGTTCAGTTAGGTATATAAGCATCATGTTATTTATTTAACTATGTATGCTAACATTTTAGTTATTTAATTAAATACCTTTTACAATTATCATTAATCAGATGTCGACATAAAGGACTTGAATTGTTGTATACATCAGATAATTTAAAAACAAGTTATCCCCCATCGCTGTATCATTTTTACTTTTTCTTAATTGATACAGGTGATGAGTATTGAAATATTTTAAAAATTGATGTATTATCCATAGATTTTTGTGTGCTTATAAATAGAAGGATATAAATATCAGAGACAACTTAAAAGTATTAGACGAATTTTGATTTATTTTCAACGGATGGCTTGCCTCCTATCCCCTCTTGAAAATCCTTAAATCGCACAAACGCTGTTTCATTTAGGACTTCAATAAATAGGCATATTAAACATTAGGATTTACTATATACAACGATAATGCGATAATTTATGATTGCATTTCATGGTATATGTTTTACAGTTCACAGTGAATTGCTTCGAATTGTCTCAAGCTTAATATCAGATATACCTGCACATATTATTGTGCTCGAATATATAAGACGTGAAATAAACGCGCGGTAAAACGAAACAGATAAAAAAAATAAAAAAATCACCTTCGATTCGTTCGGAACACAGCAATGTTATTTGCATTTTTCGTCTCGTGTGAAAATAAAATAACACGCTGACCATTAAATACCTACATACAATATAATATTATGTTTGTCTCCTTCTCCTAAGACGTAAATAATTTCGAGAAGATAAAAAAAAAAAAAAAACAGATTCAATATATTGTTGATATAATATAATAATATGTAGGTGCTTATATTATTATAATAATATGTGGTGTCTAAATACCGGTCGACTGCTGCAGCAGATGGGTCAAAAGTCTGCTGCGGCCATATACCTATATGCACATAATATAACTGTACAATAGGAGAGACGTCGAGAGAAGATTTTTTTTAACCATACACGAACGCCTATCGTTTACCGCATCTGGCAAATACTTCGATAAATACTTGGAAATCCTATTTTATTTTTTTTTCCTTATACGTTTCGGCGTTTTCGGTCTGTTTGTTTGGGGAGTTTTTTCCGTGTCAACCGACGAACACGTAAACGTATATAAAAAAAATATATTATTATATATAATATGTTTATAATATATAGGTGGTACACGTCTAAATTCTTTACGCGACGATCGGCTGCGCGGGTCACAAGAATAATGGGTAAAAAATACCAGAACTCGTGACTCACTGCGCGTATACATATCATAATATATTGTATTATATGTATGATATACAAGGCGAACGCCGCGGACGAGATTCGACAATTTGTATAATATTTTATAGTATCGCCGATGAATAACGTATAATAATATTGTATGAAGTGCCGTGAACGCGAGTCGTCAAGTGTCGCGCGTGTAATATTATGAAATGATTAGTATATGATATTATTCCGGACCACCAACACTTATGGCGATGAATAGTACACCTTTATAGGTACGAGCATGCGCGTGTACAAGTGTACAAAAAGTTTGGAAACGATACCCTCATATAAGTGCTCATTAAACGGTATCATATTATTATTATTGTCATGCTGTGACGTGATATAAATTATTACGGCGCCACGTGATTTAAAACACGAGTACCTACCTATTATACCTACCACGACGGTGAATATAAATAATACAGATAACTTCATAATTATATTATAAGCGCGACGAGTACGTCTCGAACGATATTTAAGTGGGCGCCACGGCTACGCATTTATATCGAATGTCAGATAAAAAGTCTCGGTAAACAAACTCTGAATAAAAATTTGCAAGAAAAAGTTCTATGAAAATAATTTAATGAAATAATTACTATGAACGATATTAACAAGTCATCATATCCTTATGTGTTGTATTCGTCTTAATAACGCGCCTAACATAGGTAGCAAAATTTACGTTGAGAATAATAAAAATATTAGAGCGGATTTACTTATAAAACTAGCGGTAAATATATGTATTATCTAGGAAATTCTAGGAAAGTTTTTCATGCTATTTTAACTTTGAAGTAGCTAAAGCAAGTTATGAGAGCTTAAAATCTCACAAAAAAGTTTAACTATTAGATATTATATTCATAATAACTTGTTTTAAAATAAAATACAAAAAAAAGAAAAGATTCCGTGGGATTCCTCAAATAATATATTTATCTTCAAGTTTTATGAAAAGTAAATTCACTCTATTATTAAAAATTACAGTATATTGTGTAAAATTTATTTTTGTGCGTTTGTTAGACGAAAATAACAAATGCGGGATGATGTCCTCTTAATTTTGTGTATTTTGTAATATTGATAAGTACCCTAAAAATAAAATAAAATATATTAACAATAATTATAATATTATTAATATTATTATTTTTTATGGTTTTGACCTATATTTATGATAAAAAAATTTGAATTTCTGATTTTACTTAAATTATAGATGTTGATAAAAAATATTTAATCAAATTTCTATTTTTCTACTTGCTTTTTGCGATTAATATCTGTTCTCAAATTTTAGCTAATATACCATTATTATTCTTTCCAATCTTTTAATCCGATTAATGTAAATAATTGTCATCATAATACGTTATCTACGAAAGCTAATTTATTTTATACACAAAACACTAAATGTAATGGATAAAAATCATTCTGTTTATGCAACGAAGGACTTTTTTCCCTGATTTTTTTTTTTTAACTTAACATGTATTATAAAATATCACAAATGGGCCTAAAGTTTTCGACTGATGGTTTCGATAACATCCACGATAATCCGTATAACACGTATGATTATATCGATACCGGAGTATTCGACACATAGGCACACACATTTGCATGGTTCGGCTTTTTGAAAACTAAATTATTTATGTTTCAGTCACAGCAGACTTATAGCGTTACATTGTATTTTTTTGTGACCATATATTAATTACTGATTTGACGGCATGCATCGTAATAGTAAAAAATTGAAATCATAACTGGAGGTAAGTGTAAAAACTATTTAGTTTTTTTATTTTCGTGAACGATTTTTACGGGCCCGGTCCAAGTCTCGTGATCAAAAAAAAAACGGAAACTGAAAAAACTAGAATTACTGAAAATATGAAAATATGGAAATGATTTCAAAGGCAAGTGTTTGTATCGATAACAATATTTTCTTATGAATAAAAAAAAAAAAAAAACATATGAATTTCCAATCATAATGGACATTATAACAATGACTGTGGGATGTAATTCTAGCTGACACCAACAACCTACCGTACAGAGAGTATATTTGGTGAAATAAAAACAGTTACTAAAATAGTAATATTTTGATTTCATCAAGTATATTTCTCTGTATAGGGGTTGCTGGTGTAACATATTATATCATAGTGAGGAATAAATGAACTTTCCAAGATGAAAATAAAATTAAGATTTTTATATTTGTAGTTACGAATGGTTACGAATTGATTACTTAATAATAATTTAATTTTCACGAAAAATTCTGACTTAAGAGCACCAAGCTAACATATCTTGACTGTGATTCAAAATTTGAGTTGTTGATTACAAAAAAATAATGAAATAGAAGAAAGTACCCTCATTTTTATTATGATTTAGATTCGAAAGACGTCATTACAAGCGAAATCCTCGAGAGTCCATTATTCATATGTTTTTTGATCGGGTACAACATTGTTTTTTTCAATCGAATTTTTGTTGGCTGTTACAGTGGTCGTGGAACCATACAATAATATTGATGAAATTTATGTTATATAGTATTATAATTTAGTGTTATAGTTCTACATATGTTGCCCTTAGCAATACTGATGGGTAATAAAATAACGTTAACATAACGACCAAAAATCAGACCGGCACATCTGGATAACATTTCTTTTTTCGTAATTGAATATTTTGTAAAGTTACCCCGAACAACCGGCGGTTTATATAATAATTACATAACTATAGCAATCTTATTAATACATTTTTTTAAAAACATAATACATAATTTAATATTTTTTTCCATCTAGTGGATAAAATATTAAGTAACACGCTATACGTTTTTAATTAATATATATTTTTTACTTAATAATACAACCTGCTACCGCCATTTCAGTGGATATTGATTACATTATTATTTTTTTATCTTAGACGAATTAGTACTTGTCAGTTTACTCTTTCTTGAATTCCGTCAACTGCATACATTTTTAACACATTTATTTGAGTTTTTTTTACTGATAAAATTTAAAATAATATCTTATCATCTACTTAATTTTCTGTAATTAATAATGGTAACAATATAGGATTTAAATAAATGATAATTTCCATACGTTAATGGTACACGAAATATATATGTTTAAAAATAAAATGCCTATGCCACTATGTGGATCTTGCCCTATCTATTTATGAGAATTTGTCGAAAATTGTGGATTTCGTGAAGATTATTCATTTTAAGTCTTTGATTTTATTTAGTAAATATATTATTCTATTAATTATAGCTATTTCAGCATGGCTATCTGTTCGTTAAAAATTTAATAATGCTAGAGAATTTACCTTGTTTTGAACTTCGTTAAATATACTCTATATATATTTTAATACATTCATTGAGTTCATTTTGATCTAATTAAAATATAAATTTTAAATTATACACAATTATAATAAATGATAAATATTTTATTTTATGTATCCAATGGGGTAACTTAATAAAAAAATAAAAGATTCATGTTTCGTGAGTCAATGTGAAATTAAAAAAAAAACCACATTGGTTATAAGATTTAAAAATAAGTACCAAATTTTATAAACCACGCGAGTGCGATATATTTGACCATGAATCATTACATATACATACACAGGAATATAACAAATATTGCCTTTAAATAGTGCGAACAAGGCACTACATGATCACAATAGTAGTTTATATTATTATTCTATTACTATTATCTATAATATAGCCAATATATACTTCATCACATACGTATTAGAATTATTATTCGTCCGGCGGTGTTAAATTAATACTATTGTAAATACCTATAAAAAACGACGACCGTCATGTGGCGCTAACGTTCAGCGTCAAAAAGTGCGTTTTTTATTATTATCTACAGCCAATATACGAAAACCGAAAAGAATAATATCCACCTACCTGCAACAAATGATGCGTTGGGAGTACAATGCTAGTCTTGTTCCGAGCAGGTTAACGTAAAACTGTTCGACAGACAGTTCGACGTCCCCCGAACATCCTAATTCCCCACCTCGTCAAATAAAATATAGTCTCAGACCCTTAACCACCGACGGACCCTATTGGCAGAGTACAACTGTGCCTACCTAACTATACCACAAATACTAACAAGACACGTGTTTGCTGCGAGTATGAAAGCGAAAAAGAAACGCGCGAGTTTACCTTCCCCGAACAATGACTACAGCCATAACGTCTTTTTCCCGGGCGTTTTATTGATCGTATTATAAATTATAAATAATGTTATTTCGTACACTTAAACATTCATTCAATGAAATTTTCTGCTCAACATAATATTTTAGAAAACCAAATTTCGACGAAATTTCTTTGTAATAGTAAAGTCAAAAACTTAATCATTTAGTTTTTTTTTTTTATTTATATATATAAGCTAATAACTAGTGCGTGCGTAGGAATGTCATACGAACATAATATTATTATAATATATTATATACTTTACATTTTCATTCTGCAGTTTTATTTATTTTTAGTGACTACGCGTTTCCCTTCAATTATTCCGTCATAGTTGTTAATATTATCGTACGCGTAATTACGGGTTTTAATATTATTGTAAAATAAATGTATAATATAAAAACATTTATTCTCGGTGGTAACTTAATATGCTTATCCCTAATGCCGTCTTAAATTTATATAAAAACCGTATACGCCTACTCGATCATTAAACTTTGCTAAATAACATTATTATCTATTTATACAACTTTCTAAAAGATTGAATAAAGGTATAGGTATAGGTATACCCGTTAAAAGAAACCATAAATATTTTAATGCGATTTAATCGCTGGTCGTAAAATTGTGTTCGGCAATTATTATTCGAAAATATTTTATACATGCAAAACCTACCTATACATATTTTTATTCCCCATACGTGTCACGGCGGTATATTATTCAAAACGTGAAATGTATCATCCGCGAGCAAGGACATGTAATATAGGACAATTCAAACCAACCATACTCACCCCTTTTTATATTTTAATATTACTATTAATTAAATTTAGATTTTCTGAATTTGAAAATATGGGTATACTTGAAAACAGTATTTTAAAACATTTGGATTTTTTCTATCATTTAACAATTGAAAACTTATAACTCTATGGCAGTGTAACATTTTTTTTCAAGTAGGAACCACTCTTTTGTTTCCCGTAAATGCGGTTGAGCGGATATTTTTTTTATTTTAAATTTAATTGTATTTAAATAAAAATTTAACGACATAGTTTTTGAGTTGTACCAAAGATAGTAATGGTTTTGTATTAAATACAAAATAAATGTTATACACAATTTCTTAGTAGTTAATTTTAGTACTTTAGTATATATTAAATTCGAATAATTTTTAAACTATAAAGTTTACATTTTGCATAGATCAATAGAAATATCTTTATGTTTCAAATCATTATTATCTTCAAATCTTTTAATGCTATTAGTATGAGCCTATAATTTTTTAGCTTACAAAGTTAAATAACTCAAAAACTACTTGTTTGAATTTTGATTTAGATATATAAACGTTTTCATAATAACTATTTGCTTTATAATTTACAGTAAAAATAATGGTTATCTTTTAAAGAAATTTATCTGTACATTTTAAATAGTATAATATATAAATTGAAGTATTTGAAAACACAGTCTTTAAGTGTAGGTACTTAACAATTCCAAAACTAATAACTTTTTGTATTTTAATGTATTCATCAAAAAATAGCGGTGAGAATACTTAGTGGAATCATCTTAAGGTACTTATATATTAACACTGTTATAAATGTGTGCAGAAGATATATTATTTAAACGAGTAAAAAAAATAAATAATAATCAAAGTCGGTCATTGGAAGGTTGTGTGTTTGTTAAAAAAAAAAAAAAAACAAATAAACAAACAAATCTAGTGTATTATTATTATTATTATTATACTATTTTATAGGTCTTTGTGTATTGAATACCAAAGATGAATGCCTTATTAAAAATGTGAGTAATTTTTTTTTCTTCCAGTTATCGTCATAGTCATCGGTTGTACGATTTCTGTTATTTATTAAACATTTCATTTTGACATGACGACAATATTTTTAAATGCCACAGTGGAAAAAAAATATATTGTATTTTATGGTATTGTTGCAGAGCATATTTTTATAATGCACTATATATGATAACAAAATTTATTTAATATAATATCATTATAATCTTTTATAGTGCGTGTGATCACTGCTGAGCAGAAAATAAATAAATCATTAAAGGTGATTATGCGTTTTTTAGCGCAAACATTAATTTATAAAATAATAACTCTTGTACTCCATGAAATAATTTAAATTTTATAAAAAAAATATTAAAGATAAAATCTATATGTACAAATCAGATTGGACTTCAATTTAAAAAACTCCGTTTTCATAAGTTATAATATCGAAACATCTGTTTTTGTAGATCACACATTTTTGATTTTCTTTTTAATATTTTTTTTATCATTTTTTAAGGTAAATTCAAAAACTAAAGTTCAACGCGAGTTAAATAATGTTTTTCAAAAACAAATAAAAAATAAAAATCCTAAAATTCTATTTTGCAAGGCAAAAAAAAATTGTCTGTAAAGCCTTTTAGATAATTAAAATTATTTTATTTTATTTTTCTGTACGTCCTCTGTATATAACTATTACAGTTTAAAATCTGCATGATTGTTAAGTCATTTTAAATAATTTGTTTAAAAGATTTAATTTTATATTATGTGATTTGTAAGTATATTTTTATAGTCTATATTTAAACATATGCAGGTGCGGGATCGGTTTAATAGAAAACTTGTAATCGTTTTTATTTTTTAGTTTTTTAAGGGTTTTTTTTCAACAATAAATTATCAGTAATTTTTAAACATGCCATCACTTATTTGACATGGTTTTAAATTGTTTGAATATAAACTGTTGTACTGAGCTCATTGTAAAATACTAAAATTAACTGGTGTTTTATCAACCACTTGTTGTTATAAGTTTTACTATAACAACGAATAGAATTAATTAATTGTCGTTTAATGTGAAATCAACACCAAATCTCTTCAACTCGAAATCAACACACAGCTGTATGTTATGTAAATGACACACCAACGTAGAATTAATTTTAGATGTCTAGATGTGTAAAATTTGTTTGCATTTTTGCTCCTTAATAAATAGTAGGTTAAAACAGCTTTAAACATATAGCTCAATATTATAAACGATGAGACGATGTTAACATACAGACTTATATCAATTCATTACGTTTATGAAGACGGATAACTACGCATTAATGATCATTTATTGGGTTCGACGTATATGTAATACAAGCTGAATTATCCGGGTTCGCCTGTGTATAATTAGTATTTTTTCGAAATTTTTCTTAATTTTATCAAGTACTAAATAGTAGTAGTAGCTTAATCATAAATAAAAAAAAAAAAAATAATGATCAGTCGTAGGAGTATTTCGTACAACTCAGTGGAAAAAAAATGTAAAAATGTTAAATAGTGTCGTCAAAAACGGGAACATAAAAAAGAGTTGTTCTTTTATATATGTAAGGGTTATATACCTAATTATTATATGATATTAAAATATGTATTAGGCGTGATTCTGTGGTTCATCGACGTTTTACAATATAATTATAATACTCGGTAAACCGTTGAAATGAGTGAAAGAAAAAAGTCAGTAGCGCTATGAGGGCGTTTGTTAAAAATAAAATTACCATGTGTCCGTTTCAGGGCTAGTAAGGGTATCAAATTGAGATTAAAGTTTTTAAGTGACAATCCTCCCACCAAATGACTCGCGTACCTATGATTTATCTTAAAATATTAACCTTTTATTTTTTTACCATGATTAATATAAAATTGTATAACTCAATTAATTAAATAAGACAAACCCTCTAACTATAATGATACATTTTTTGAAAATGGGGTTCCTTAACGTTTCATTTTAATTAAGTAACTAAAAACCTTTAAATATTATATTTTTATGTGACAAAAATCGCTCTTTAGTTATTGAATTAAATAACCAATAATATATGGTATTAACACACGATATGATCTTATTCAAGGCCTTTGATATCAAAATTAACTTGGTTTATGCTTGATTTAAATAAACATATTTAAATTATACTGCATAATGAATAAATACTTTTTTCTTGTCGATGAATTATACGTAGGTATCATGTTACTTGATCGAATCAGATTATAATCCTTTCGCCCACCCTTTATTTCGACCACGTGTATTTTGTTGTGTACACAAATAGATTGGCGTTCTTTTCGTTTATCATATTGTCATTCTATGAAAATATCTAAATAAACTATTTATGCATACAATCAAATATGATTTCAATTTAAATGAAAACAGGATTGATAAATAAGAAATTAATAATTCACAAATAAAAAATTTGATTTAACAGTTAATATGGAAAAATTGTTAGTTTAACTCAGTTATTAGAATCTCCTTTTTTAATTAATAAATTAAATTATTATTTTGCGACCTTAATATTACTTTATCATGAAATATAACAGTAATTATAGTATTTTTATTGATATTAATGTGGTATTTGATTAATTTTATTTAAAACCCTGTACCTATACAATATATTATAATGTATTAAACTATTTAAACCAAATATATTAAAACATATTCATAATTTTAACTTGTTTGGTTATATTATTTGAGCCAGCTGAAAAAATCTGAGTCATTTCAACTGCCAATTAAACTAGTTAGATTAAAATATTTAAAAAAACAAACGTTTTAGCTATTTTAATAGTAAAATAATATTGCGATTAGTCGGTATTGCCTTACTTATATCATAATTTAAAATAATAAATATGATACGCACGTTGGACATAACATTATTAATATTGTGCGGTGCAAGTCGACGAAGCCACCATAAAAATGTTAACGATTCGTTTTTAAAGAGACACTTTGTGGTTGGAACAGAATTCTCATTCGAATTTACGACCCCGTCACACACACTAAAGTGTAGGTAACCTACACACACGCATTCCTGAGCGTT